TTGACCACTGAGAAGATTTAGATTCAGAAGAATACTATGATCTGACTCCGGCTTTAAAAAGATCACTCTGTCTACTGCATTTAGTATCTGAAGAGACATGGCCTGAAACGGCCATGCTCTTCCAACAAACCAGATTAGAATTGATGGTGGCTTGGACCAGGTTTGTAGGGCTGAAGGTGGCAAGAAGTATAGAGATTCTGGATATATTACTGAGAGAGGGCCGATGGGATTTGCTGATGTGTTGCATATAGGTTTGAAAGATATGACCTGAGCAAACAGAAAGCTGAAGTAATCATTTACAAAGATCAGAAAGACCATGAAATCAGGTATTTGGGAGAATGTTCAGGACTTTAGTTTTTATATCTATAAGGTTGAGATGGCATTTTGATATCCAACAACAACAATAATAATAATAATAACAATAATAGGTTTTAGATATAAAACACTGGCACTTAGGAATATAGTGCTTATTATAGATAAAAATTTGAGAGTTGTCAGCAACATAATTTTTAAAGCTACAGAATTACGCAAGATCACCAAGAAAGGGAATTTAGACAGAGAAGAGAAGAGGTTTAAGCATTGAGTCCTTGAGTACTCCAGTGCTTAGATGTCAGCAAGATGAGGAGGATGCGCCAAAGATTAGATGGAGCAGCTAATAAGATAAGAAGAAGACTGGGAGGGTAGTCTTGGAAGACAAGTGAATAAAGTATTTCAGCAAATAGAAAAGTGATTTCACTGTTTCATATGCTGCTCGTGGCATAAGTGAAGTAAGGTGACTTTTGAATTTAACAGTGTGGTCGTTGGCAGTGAGACCTTTTCAAGCTTTGTCTCAGTGGAATATTGGTAGTGATAAAAGTGGCTTTAAGAAAGAATTGAATAGAAAAAATAGAGAGACTGAATATATACAGTCTTTTAAAGAGTTATGTTTAACAGGGGACTAGGGAAACAGAGTAGTAGCTGAAAGGGGATGTCAGTCAAGAAAAGGTGTTTTTTGTTTGTTTGTTTGTTTGTTTGTTTGTTTTAAAGCAGGGGAGATTATGGCATGTTTACATGCTAATAGGACAATCCAGGAAAGGTGGAAAATTGATAATGCAGATGGGAGAGACAGCTGCTGAAAAGAGGTCCCTAGAGCAAGAGCAGATAGATTCAGTGCTACAAGCACATTGGATTATGAATTGATCCAAAATACAGGAAGGCATGCAGAGAATTAGGGGCACAGACAGAGGTATTGGATAATGTAATGATGGGAACTTGTGAAAAGTTCCTTCTGATTACTTCTAATTTTCCCATGAAATGGTAAGCTAAATCAACTGAGAGTAGGGATGGGGAGGAGAAGTTGAGAAGGTATGAAATCATTATCTAGCAGGGCAGAAGAAAGAGTGCAAGATGATGGTTGAACGGCACCAGAGGTTAAGTTCATGCTCATGAACTTAGAGCACATGTGTCAAACACAAGGCCTGCAGGCCAAATCCGTCCCGCCAGGCCTTGCAATGTGGCCCGCACCACGCTGTCATCACTGCACTCCGCTGCGTTTCCATCATAATGACAGTTTATGACTGTTTAGTAAACCATTCGGCCCGCAATTTAGGCTGGATTTTAGATTTTGGCCCCTTCTCTGTCAATTGAGTTCGACACCCCTAACTTAGAGACTAGTAAGCATGGCAGTGTGCTTTCCCAGCTAGGTTGCACTGAGTGGTGTAGTCACAGAGTTGGCTGAGAGTGAAAGTTTTGCCAGATTAAGAATGTAGAAATTATCTGCGAGAGACTAATTGCAGCATTTATATTGGGTAAAGAATAAATAAATATCAAATAGTAATAAGTACGTTGAGGACACATTGGGAGGGAGGGACAATGAGTGTTGATTGAAGGATCAAGAAATTGTATATCCTTGTGGAGTGGGAGAATTGTTGCACTGGGGAGTAGAGGAAGAAACTGGGAAGAGGTGGTGGTTAGGGAGTGGGATGTTTAAAGTTGAGGTCAAGGAGAGGTTGCAATTGGAAATGACAAAGTCTGCTCTGTGATGTGAGAGTGAGCAACTGATACAGGGAGGGGGCCAGACCCTCAAAATATAGAGACGTTCAAGAAACGAAGACAGTAATGTGTCAAAATGATCATCTGTGTGGAGAATAAGTCATCAAGAATTAGGCAGGAGTAACACTGGGGAGAGGGCCACAGTGAGCCAAAACCTAACATCTGTAAGGAATGAGGGGCAATGGCCAAGCGGGAAGTAGATAGGTCAGTGGGTGACATTGTGTAGTATCCCTCAACCACCCATGCTGTTGAATATCATATGCATCTTTTTTTTTTTTAAATTATAAACTGATGAACCAAAAGATAGATATAGAGACAGTAAAGCAACAAGTAGACTGTCAAATTACAGCAGGTAGGGTAGGGAGATCTGGGGGAGATAATAGATCAACCGAAGGACTTGTATACATGCATATAAGTACAACCAATGGGCAATGTTAAAATATCATATGCATCTTGCTCCAAGAAAATAAGCTGTACAAGTGTTTTATTTGTCTGTTGATATGTTTTTAGTGACCCATTACCAACTTAATGTCCAAATACTGTTACATGTGTGAAATTAAAAGAATTTGATTCTGATTCAAATTGCTGAGTATTTCACCGGTAGTGTGAGCTTGCCTTTCTTGCCCCAGGCTCGGTATCCAGGAGAGCATTCCTGAGGTAGGAAGCATTCCCTGCCTCCTGGCTGTGGGGTTTGTGTGGCCTTGGACAAGCAACTTAAACTCTCTGAAACTTAACTGGTTACTTCATCTTTGAAAGAAGGCTCATTGTGAGGGCTAATTGTGAAGATTAAAGGGGATAAAGCGAAAGCATTTAAGCATGGTCCCAGCATATCATAGAAACTCAAGTTTTATTTAGCAGAGCTAAAATTTGGTATTTTGAGTTAAAAACACTGCAGAAAATGATCACCTAGTCTTGGCAAAAAGTAAATGTCCTTTGTGAAAATAAAGTATGTGATCCGCTAGCTCATGTATGGTATGTAGTGTGTTTACAGATTAGCCCACCAGATTGGGAATTCTGTAAAATGGGTTTACTGTTGCAGCAAAAGATTTTTCTCTATACTCATTATATGATTAAGGCAAAATTATTTATATTGCAATTACCCAAATTCAGTAAAGTGTTTAATGAGGCATTCACTGCCTAGGGCAGGTTAGCATAACAGTAAATTGTGTTTATTTGCCCAAAACTTAAGAAGCTAAGTGTACTACTGTTTTTTAGAATGTGGTTCTTTAAGGGGGAAATGAGTATTTTATGAGATGTTTCTAAACACAGATTTTGATTTCTCTATCATCTTCTCCTTCAGGCATTTTAAAAATCACCATGAGCATCCTAGAGAGTAGATCAATAGGAGAGTAACAGGTGCTTAGTGTCAGGGCGATAGCAACAGGGCCGATGGGAATTGGGACCTTTCATGATATGATACAGAAGCATGGTGCCTTGTGTATCTATAAAGGAAAGAGTGATGGAATCCAAGTCAGGCGACCTCAGTTCATAAGACTCTGCTGGTAGGCCTTGTTTTCTCCATCTGAAAAGTGAGCATAATGGTACCTGATGGGGCTGCCATGGTAACTGAATGAGATGAGAACAGATATTTTATATATATATAATGTTAGTTAATGGTGATGGATTATTAAGATGCCTTCTATGGAATAAAAGAGTTTGTTAAATATAACATTGTCAGGTATCTCACAGAGTGATTCTAGGCCATTTTCATCATCCCTTCTCTGCCAGGAAGGAAGGGATGCAGGCCTTTTTGAGAAAATTATGCTCCTCTGGGCATGTCAAAGAATAGCTGGGAACCAAGCTAATTCATTGATTCAGGGTACTTTCCTTTGAGACTGAGGTGGACAGAAAGCTTCAATGATAATGTGGAGGGTCAATAAGAACTATTTAAGTGATGGACTGACCCGAAGCCATCAGTTTTAGAAGGTGAAAGGACCTTTCACAACTCCCCTCACCCCAGCTTTTATAAATATATGAGGCTCAGAAAGGACAGTTACAATAACATTTTGAAATAAATTTCAGTTATAATCACTGTGCATTAAGATTGCAAAAACTGTTGCATTCGTGAGAATGTTGTTTCAGCCGTAGCCTCTGAACGAGTTTAATCCTTTTGACCTGTTATAGTGACTCAAGGGCAATTGAGACAGAGAGCCATGTCTCCCTGCACAGGGAGAGACTGAGCTTCCTAACAAATCTGGTAGTTTATTTGAACTAGAGGCACATTGTGATGGAATGACCTGTTTTGACCAGGTCTTGGCCCCTGCTGGGATCTAGGATGAGGCCATCAATGTGTGTAATTATGCTAAGTGGCAGAAGTCTCACTGCTCTTCCCTTCTGACTCCTCCAACCCCAGCTCCAACCCAGGGCCTCTGGAATAATGACATCCAAAATCCTTCCTTAACTAGCAAAATAGAAGCTCCTTGAAAGAATTTCCCTATGAGTTCTGCCACAGAAGTAAATAGACATTTGCATGGATACTAAATCTATGTTTTGTTAGATATAACTCTTTGGGACCCACCAGATCCGTTCTCATCTTGATCCTTCCTCTGAACCGTTCTCAATCCCACTTAACAGTGTCATTATAATATGTCTCATGTCACCAGTATACTATTTTTTTTTTTAATGTTCTGGGAGAATCTTAAACAGCAACCTCACATGTAACTTTATGGAATTGTTCCAACTGTTACCCAAGCTTTTCCAAATGTGTGATGTTATAAGTACCCTGCTTTTACATAGCAAAACCATCAATAAATTGCTCCATGGTATTGCTTAACCCCCAACCATAGCATCAGGGAGATTTGCTGGGCTCCTCCAGGGAACACCTTTGCCACATTTTGTCATTTGCTTGGAATGTCAAACAAGGCCCTCTTTTGGCACACATTGGGGATGACTCTCAAAGCCACACAGAAGAGCATGTATATATATAGATGTTTCCTCCTGTTTTATTTTACTTTTTTGAATCTATACAGGCAACAGCCTCAGATTCCAATCACCACAGGAACAGGTGTTGTGTATCCTGGTGCTATTACTATGGCAACGACCACACCATCACCTCAGATGACATCTGACTGCTCTAGCACCTCTGCCAGCCCAGAGCCCAGCCTCCCGGTCATCCAGAGCACTTACGGCATGAAGACAGATGGCGGAAGCCTAGCTGGAAATGAAATGATTAATGGAGAGGATGAAATGGAAATGTATGACGACTATGAAGATGATCCCAAATCAGACTATAGCAGCGAAAATGAACCCCCAGAAGCTGTCAGTGCCAACTGAAGAGTATTTGTTTGCTGAATTAAAATACTCTGACATTTCATCTCCCCTTCCCCAACAAAAAAGTTCTTAAAGAGCCCGCATGCATTTGTGGCTCCACAATTACATCAGCAGAATGGTCTTAATTATTTTGTAAAGTGTGAGACAGATTAAGTTTTCCCTGATTTTTCATGAACTTGAGTTTTTTGTCGTTATTGTTATTGTTGTTGTTGTTTTTTTTAAATTTAGGTGAAGACATATTAAATATGAGACACCAGGACTTGAAAACTTATCTCAACCCATAGCTGTCTTACAAGTCTTATATTTTTGTCTTACTTTTTTTTTCTTTTGGATGTTGATAAAGGTTTAAGTTACTGTTTTAGATGGGGTTAAACATTCTCACTCAGGTATGCTGTGCCGGCCTACAGGTTGTGAATGTGTTTTTATTCTGAATTACTTTAGAAAATAACAGGATTTCATTTTGTGAAACAGAACAAGTCCACAGCGTGTGCAGCTGCATGTAGAGCATATTCAAAAGGCCTCGGAATTCCATGTGTCCATGTGTAGAGTTAAACTTTGAATGTGCCAAACTTTCTCATCACTTTTGGATCTTAATATTTTGAAAAGTCTTAAAGGAGACACTGCAAAGTCTTAGACAATCTTTGGCATCTTAAAATAAAATAGCAAACCAGACCTTTTTTTTTTTTTTTCCAGAAAAATGGTAAAGTACTCAGGAATCTGGAGACAAGATATTGTAAGGAATGAACAAGGTTGCCACAGTGCATGTACCCAATCATGTTTGCCTCTTGACGTGCCATCAGTGTGTCACGTGTATGATGTGTGCACACCAGAGCGATCACCACACCAGATACCGACATGGTGGTCTCCTCTGCCAGAGACCACCTCTCACTACATCCATCATCCCTTTGCCTTTAACCCTGACATTCAGTCTTAACACATTTTCTCTTAAATAATTTATTCATTCCAGAATGTCAAGGGTCCACTTACTATTTATTTTTTTAAAAAGTTGTTGGTGGCATTAATTTAATAATTCTTGTTTTTTCACCTTCCTTCCCCAAAGAACTTTTCAGTCCTTTTCACCTCCTTCTCCTGCTAGATACAAAAGATGTACATAGTGATTTTGTCCCCAGAGCATCTGGAAGCATTTCTGAAACAAGGTACTATTAAATACCTTCGTGTTTTTTTTTCTTAAACATGAGTGTGTATCGTGCTGCAGGGCTGTGTATTTGGATATAGGTGCAGAGTCTTACACTTCAACAGCTAGGCCCTTGAGGTTTGCTGTGACCTCGAGTCTCTTGCCAGAATCTCCCCCTAAGTCAGCTCAGCAGCAGGTAGTAGGATCTGCCTCCATGGCATTTGACCTGAAGGTCATGCAGCAGAAAGGGTCAGCATCAAGGGTCAAGGGTGGTGACTCCTAGCAGGAAAGTCCCACAGCCAAACCTATAGCCCAAGGCTGGGGGCCATGGAGGAGGCCACAGTGACGCTGTCATGGGCTGGCACCTTTATATGGAGTTGCCTTGTCCCATCTGGTCCATTTAGGGGATTCTTTGCAAAATCCCCAGGGTGCAAGAAGCCATGTGACAGACTCTACGAAAAGACAGAGGCAGAGAGCCATGATACATCCAGAGGGTGAAAGAAAACCGTAGGGAAGGAGAAGGAGGGGAAATACATTCTCTACAGGATGTCCCCACTGTTATCTCGGGGAACAGATCACTCCTGGAGCAGCAGAGGAGTTCTTTCCGGCTCATGTGTCCTCTGTCTGCAGCCTCCGTGTGAACAAGATTAACCGCACTTGTCACACAAGGACTTTTTTGGAGATGTGCTGATGGCTTGGGAGGCAGTGAGATTGGATTCCCCATCTCCTCCTCATAGGGATCTTAGCCTGATCGCCTATGGGGGAGGGAAGCCATCACCAGAGTAATTCAGTTGGAGAATGTCTTCGAATGGGACAGTTCACCTCATAGGATGACTCAGAATCGGATCACTAGAACATAGGAACGGCCCCCTCAGATTTCTTGAGCCATTTTTGTCACTTGGAAGAAAATAGTGTACCTTCATATTTATTTACAGAGTGCTCAAGGCCATACTTCATAACAATAACTAGCTCTAGCCACAATATACTGGCTACATCGTTAGCTGGGAGTGCTCTCCATAAGCTGATTAAGGTACTGATAGGAATGTTTTGTTCTTAATATTGGTTGGGGATTGGAACTTTGTTTTTGTACATTTATTTCAAATGAGGAGGAGGTCATTTTTTTCTTTAAAAAATGAGTATTTATTGTCTTACTAATTTCTTTTGAACGTATACCTCTCCTCCTCGTTCATCCTCATGTTTTTTTTCTCACCCTCCTTGGCTTGGCTTTGCCCTCTCCACTCCTTTTTTTTTTTATTTTGTTGCATAGGTAGAGTGCTGTATGGCTAGCATTGTAATGTATGTAATTAATTTTGCACAGAGGCAAACATTTAGAATAGTAGGTTAATTTTGTTTGTTTTATGACCATGCCAAAATAATATTCTGGGCTGGTGGAGAACAAAGGACTGTTCTTTAGGACTGAAACTTGATTTCACTTGTAGTAAAACAAAACAAAACAAAAACAACAAAAAAACACACACACTCACAGATGTTGTTTCATAAGTGTTATAAGCACTGGATATAAATGGTATTTTTTATCACTTCTGACTAATGTGAAACTGTTGTACGAAAACTACATGAACAAAAGTCATCTGTTTCGACTCGTGTGGGCTTGCCTCACAGTTGCCGGATTTGAGTCATTTTTATGTCTTGTTATTTCATTTATTTATGCAAAATACATGTGTGTATGAACACTTTGTTTTAGCTCCAGCTCGCCCCGGCACTGGGGCTCAGTTACTTCGAGCCGCGCTCTCGAAAATGAAAGGCTATTCAGGAATGATCTGATTGTAAACACCCTTGCATTGGGTCGAACAGTGATGCCGTATTTGAATCTAAATTCTGCGCCTAAGCAGTTTATCCTATTTATTTAGCCAAGTTTGGCTCTAAAAATCCTTAGAAATTCAGAACGACAATCATAGGGATCACTTCATTTTCTCTGCAATGGGGCTTAAAACAAAGTTGTTTTTTTTATGACTTTACCATCTCATTTTAGATTTGTTTTTCTAATTGTGTAAATATAACATAGAAATAGAGTTTATTTTTGGTTCATGAATACTTAGTGAGATATAAGTTATGTATTTCCTTTCTGTTCTCTCTCTGTACGTGTTGGTCCAGACTAGAAGTCGAGGAGTCACTGCACCGCGTGGGGGGTAGTGGGTTACCAGCCACCGTGAGGGCACTGCGTCCCACTGGCGCTGGGGTGAGAAAGCCCTTCCCTCGGGCCTCAGCAGTTAAAGCCCGCTGTCCGCAGAATCAGACTTCGGCTTTTTTTCTCAGAAAGTCAATGAATGGAACATACCAAGTGTCCAGGACAGCTGGGAGAGAGCCCGTTTTGCTTTGTGAATCCACATCCATTGAGTAAGGTAATCTCTGTGACCATTTTTAATAGCAAAAAACGTGAATGTTATTACAAAAGCAAAAATCTGCCCCTGAAATTGGTCATGAAGTAAAGTCCCACCATGCCAATTAAAGGAAATATTATTAATAAACTTTTTCAGTGCTTTTTATTTCGGAGTGTCTTCAAATCAGAGATAAAAAATTATCTCCATTTCGGTAAAGAATTTACAAGGTTAGGGTTTCCATGTCACCTAGCATAGGGACACTGGCAGACAATCCTAGCCTAAAAATGGACCATAAGAAATAGGAAGGAAGGAAGAAAGGAAGGAAGGAAGGAAGGAAGGAAGGAAGGAAGGAAGGAAGGAAGGAAGGAAGGAAGGAAGAAAGAAGGAAAGAAAAAGAAAGAAAGAAAGAAAGAAAGAAAGAAAGAAAGAAAGAAAGAAAGAAAGAAAGAAAGAAAGAAAGAAAGAAAACAAGTTAATCTGTGGGGCAGGCAGGCAATTTCTCTGTTTCACTGGCCCATGTGATGTAGTGTCTTCCCCAGGTCTGAGAGCTTTGTTGTTTTCACAATCACCCAGCTCAACCTTTTAGGAGCGAATCAGTTTGCTTCATTTGGTATTTGATACTCCCTAGCCTTGTCCTCAGGCCCTGTTCTGTTTGCCAGGGTCCTGACACCCACTGGAAGGCCAAGTTCTAAATTCAGGTGTGGGCTCAGTGCTATTGAGCTTGTCAAAGTCTGGCCTCCCCTGAACATAGGCCCCACCCTCCTCTGGGAGCCTGGGTGTGTAAAAAGGGTGTGACCACCCTAGGCTGAAATCAAAGGCTGCTTTCTTTTACTGAGGAAGCCCCGCTGCTGCTTCTTTGGAGCACCCCCTACCCAGCCAGGAGCACAGGCACTAGCTGAAAGCAGGGACTGTTTCCAGGAAGTCCATCTGCCCACAGTAGGAAAGGAACCTGGTCACTTAAAAACCACAGCCCAGGCTGCTTATCTCAATTTACTGATGCTGCAGAGAGGGGACCTCTGCCCACTCATTAGGGAACAAGAAAGAATCACCTAGTAGTTTTAAATCATACGAGAAGCCCTGTACCAAGTGCCAACAGCTGCAAACTGTGCAGCTAAACGAATGTATTGGTACTATTTCTGGGTGTTCCTTTCTGATGAGAAAATGACAAAGTGGTTGCCTGTAGCCTTGCCTGATTCTATACACGTTTGTCTAAGGACTGAGTTGGCACTTAAGCTCACTTCTCCAAGTATCATATCGTATGACCTCATTTGTCCTTTTACAAAAGCACTTGCATCATTTCCTTCAGTCCTCTGAACCCTCCCCCACCAGCGTGTTCTCTTCCTTAATAAACAACTTCTATCTGTTATTTATGCTGATCATGTTCTGTTTCCGATGCCCTATGCTATGGAGCATAACCCTCTGCCGATATCATTGAAAATATTGATATGCAAACACATTTCCTTTTCATCCCCAGCCCCTCTTTTCCCTTGGGGACAGATCGCTTTCCCAAAGCTCATGAACAAGTATTAGAAATGCTGGTACCTTCTTGGGGCGGGGCTAGAGGCTGGGAGGAGGTGGGAAGGCAGAGGGGCAGCCGGGTAACAGGGCACGTCCTCTTCTAATTGGTGTCTGTGGCAAAACGAAAGCTTGACGACTCGGTGACATTATCTTGCTCAGTAGTTTCTTATTCCTGAAGAACCACAAGCATAAAGCGAGGCCTCAACGCTGGTGCTCTTGGAGTATGGGGGATGTGCAAATATTTAACTGTGTGTGTCTGCTGCACATTGTAGGTCCGCTTGTGTGCATTCTCCGTTCGTCTTCCCTTGTCATATGTGTTTTTGCTTTTTTTGGAAAGTGCGGTCTTTATTGTAACCTTCGCCAGCTTGTAGCAGGTTAGAATGCTTAGCATTTCTGTTCATGCCTTATTGTATTTTGCCATGTGTAAAAAAAAAATTTTATTACCGTAGGCAAGCTTATAAGCTGTTACTACATAACTTATCTGACTGTAACTCTTTTTATTTCCCCGACATTGTAATTTGTTTGTGATGTATATTGTGAGATTGTATTTTATGTTAATTTAATCAGCACAATTCACTGACATGCTGGACTGACATGCTGGCTGCTGTTTCCAAGTGTAAAGTGCGTGTAGGGCTGTTGGGACAACTGCGACTCTGTTGTCAAGGTACTGTGCTTTGGTTCCCGTAGCAACACTGCGGGCGTGGCCCTGGTGAGCTCAGGGCACTCACCACCCCCTGGAGCCAATCTTAACTGCAGGTTTTCTTTGTAGAAACTCTATGTATAACGCAGGTACCTGCTTGGCCCATGGCTGGTAACTATTTGGGCAATTAGAGAAAACAAAAAACCATAAAAACTAGTGTCTATTGCTGCTTTGAATATGTTTGAAAGTCTGAAAATGTAAATAGTTTATCAAAAAAAAAAAATCTTGTACAGTCCAGTGTAAAGTTTTTAAATGACCTTAAGGGTTGCCATCACATCTTTCTCACACTCTCCTCTTGATAATGGGAAGAAGAAAAATAAGTTTGCTAAGGATTCAAGAAATGGGGGCGGTGGGGAATAGAATCTCTTCAAATTTATAAAGGAATGAGTCATTGTTCTTCGCTTTGTTGCATCCACAAACTTCTTGGATTTTGTTGTGCAGTATTGATGTGAGACAAAACTCAATATTGGATGATCCTTCAGTGGCATTTTTCGGAGTCTCTCACCCCCCCCCCCGCCTCATCATGAAGGGAAAAAACGAAATCGAAAGACATGTGGTCTTTCTCTCTCCTGGTATATGTTGGCACCTTGGCTACTTTCTCCCCCCCTTTTTTTGCACAAGGTGCTTTCCTGATATGTTAACCATGCCATCTTCGGGTGATAATGTACATGCCATGATGGGGCCCAGGCCCCTCAGGGGAGTGTCTATACGAACTGCCTATTTATGCTCATTTACCTCAAGACTGTCCTCTCTACCCTTAATCTAGTCATCATCACTCCATCTTTTGTACTGCTGTTGACACTTACAAATTAAAGATAAATTTTGTTTTATGACCTCTGTGTATGGCCTTGTCTATGCCCTGCAGACTGTTCCGCTCTGGAGCCGGGTAGGCCACAGGCTCCATCGCTCACTGCTGGAGCCAGCAGAGTCCCTGCCCCCCGATTTGAGCTGCTCTCTGGCTGGGAGGTCGGTCTCCCAGAAGCCCTCATCCCCCCAACCCCCAGCCCGGGAAGCCTTGCCTACTCTCTTCCTTGTGAGCACGCGCTGCTGCAGCAGGAAATGCTTGTGGATTTAGGTGGTAGGAACAGGAGCCAAAGTGGAATTTTTGTCAAGAGAAGATGAGAAAGAGAAGATTTGACCTATATTTGCCTGACTCCTCCAGGAGAAGGAACGCTTATCAAAGCTCTGAGAATCCCGGGGTATGAATGAATCTCATCTGACACCAACTTCCGCAAGCCTAGCAGCCACATGTGAAAATTGCCACACTTCTGGAGCCTTCCCCTCCACTGTGGCTGGGAGTGGAAGGACTGACATGCTGGCTGACTCCACGGTTGCTTCTGCCTCAGGGAAGGAGAGCTCCCTCCTTGTTGTCCAGCCAGGAGTTAGACCTGGAGCAAAGTGATTCCAGCTTTTAAGAGTCTGAGGGATGGAGGTGTGGAGTGGGCTGAAGGAAGCTTGCAGCCCAGCCCAGCCCCGCCAGCACCACTGATCCCAGAGGTTAGGGACCAGCACCTGAGAGTGAAACAAAATGCTCAAGAGGGAGAGAGGGGAAGAGACAGCCAATCTTTTTGGTATTTCCTATGAAAAATGCCTCATTAGAGAAAAGTCAAGGATTAGTGGAACTTCAGCAGCCAAACTTGTGACTTTGAAACAAGCTGGCATGAGTCATGGAAACCTAGCAACTCGTGGTCCTCCCTGCGCCCCGTGGGCATTTGAAAATCCAGGTAAGTAGAGGGTGTGGCTGTGGAGCCATAGGAACCTGGCCCTGCCATTTGCTAGCTGTGACCTTCCCAGGTGACTCCTCTGTGGCATGGGGTGATGATCCCTACCTCTCAGGGTTTTGGGGGAATCCCATGAAATCCCACACATGAGTCGTCTGGCAGCATCCTGCACACTCGGTGCAGAAAGGAAGTTGCCTCTGGTCAAGAGGCTGAGCTAAGGAACCATCACTGTCATTGGCCCAGGAAAGCCAGGGGTTTGCTTGATCACAAGTCCCAACCTTCCTCCAAGCTGGGCTCCCAGCCATCTAGGTTCTTTCATTTCCAGTTTATTCTCATCACTGCCTTTGTTCTTCTTTCTAAGGCACAGGTCCGCTCTGTCCTCTCTCCCTCTGTTCCTCTCCTAAAATCTCTGGCTGTCCACAGATGTCGAGATAGAGTCTGGGCTTCCTGTCCTCACAGCCCTGTGTAGCAGACCCACCAGCCTCCAGTGCCCTCCATGCCCTCCACTTCTCGGTGTTTCTCTCACACCTCTGGGCCTCTCCCCAACCCTGCAGCTCTTTCTCCTCCTTTTGCTCCAAGTCAACCTGTCCCTTTGTCAGTTTGGGAGATCCCCACTCCTCCAAACCCCATCCCAGACATCACCTGGTCTGTGATATTTTCCATGGCTCCCAAGGGTTTCAGCCTCTCCCTCAGGGACCCCACTGCACCTGGAAGGGACCTCCCTGATTACATTTGCTGCAAGGTTATGACCTGTATCTGTCTCTTCTGCTAGAGGATGAACTACTGAAACCAAGGACTGTGCCATGCCCGCCCTCCAGCCCCCATCACAGTACTTGACATATAGCAAGTGCTCAACACTTGTTTCTGGAGTGACTATGGCCCCTTGGCCTCCGAGTGTGGTATAGCCTGTGAGCGTCAGGGTCTTAGATGGTGGGGATCAGGAAGTCTGTAGGGGAGCCTTGGTACTAGTTGTTTCATTTGGAGAACATTATTAGTTGAAACATCTTTGTTCATTTGGGGGAAGCCATTTCAAGTCAGTGTGATGGCTTTTCCCAATCAGGCAGGAGGCCATTAAGTCACAAAGGTTTTCAGGAGAACTCACACTAGAATGTCCACATTCCTGAGCCTGGAGCCACTGCTCTGATTTGCCTCTGAGGCATTCCGGCTGCAGTGGAAAAAGGACAGCCCAGAAAGAGGAAGTTTTATGAGTTTGCCCTAGTCTTCCCTTGATATCCCAGGGTCCAAGATGACCCTTTATTCTGGGTTATCTTGGACCCAGGACAAAGGTTAATGGTGGTTCCAACCCCTGGGTACTCTTCACAAAAGGGGAGGATACTAAATTGGTCCTCCTGCTGGGGGCAGGCAGGCAGTCACCCCACAAGCTGTTCACTCAGTAATCTCTCCTTTTCTGACCAAAGGAACCATGGTCCAGGCAAGAATGATTCTTTCCTTTCATTGTGCTCCAGAGCCCAACTCACAGTGTGGTCTACAGATGAGCAGCATCTGCTGCATTGGAGACATGAAGATCAGGGGAGCCATACTGAGTAGCACACAGGTAACTCCGACAACCACCATCACCTCTTCGTGAACCACATGCCACGGCCTGGAGAGATGAAGGGTTAATCGTTTGAATTGTGAAGGCCCAGAGGCAGATGACCCACCCAAGGTCACACCGATTAAACAGCAGTGCCAGAAGGCACACCTATGCTTTCCAGTGCTAATGCCAGTGACTCCATTGCATGTGGAGATTGCTCATCAATGGTGCAGCCCTGGATCTAGGCCCCGGCTATCACCAGGTATCTGGGGACTCTGCCCCCTTTCCTGGCTGGGCCCAAGGCCTGGCCCTGACTGAGGGCCCAAGAGACTCCAGGCCAAGACGACAGCTCTCTTCAGAGCTTTTTCTACAGTGTCCTCTGTCTATTGGCCACCTGGCAATTATTTCTATTGTGGCGCCAACTTGGGTGGCCATTGAGTAGATAATGAGGAAATGGGTAGATTCTGGGGCTCCTTTTCTGACTCTGATAGTAAAAGACAGAGTAAAGGGAGTTGGTCAGGAAAAGTGTCTGAGGTACATGTTACCCTGGCGCTGCGGCGCCTAAGTGACCCATGAGGATGGGTCATCCAGCAGGCTTCATCAACTCAGCCCCCGCCAGGCAGCCTTGGTCCCACCCCATCTCCCATCAGGCCTGCGAGCTCTGAATCTCCACCTACTCTGATGGTTTGTGAGGTGTTTGCTCCCTCTTCCATTTGCACATTATTCCTTCTTCCTACATATTTAGTCCTGGCCCAAAATACACAAGACAAAGCCTGAAGTGCTGGCAGAGTCCTTTGCTGCACTCAGGCCCTGATCTGCCCTTCCATCCACATCCCGGAATGTTTCTGACACTGCACACTGGGGTTGTTACCTGTACATGCCATATCCTGAAATGTCACCTTGGGCATTGGAAGGCCTTCCCTCTCTTCTCCTACCACCATCATCTCCCATGTTTTATAGCCCAGCTGAAACATCAGCCTTCCCTCAATATGCCGCTTATGTACTATCTGCTTATGTATGCTATCTGTACTTTATCCATTAAAAAAACGTCTCAGCCCTAAGAACCAACCTTTGCTCCCTTGAGGGCATGAGATTGTCCCTGTTGAGTACACACTTCTATAGAAAGCTCACTTGGAGGTTGGCCCTCACCATGGAGTTTGTAACTGGTTTCCCACTATAATGTAAATTCTGGATTTTGATTACTGTGGCTTAGTTACAATTTCTCCCCAAACATAGCAATACAAAGCAACCATTTATTACTCTCACAGAATCTGTGAGTTTGCAAATGTGAATGGGACACAGGAAGGCTTTTCTCTGCTCTACAATGTCTGGGAGCTGAGCCAGGAAACTCAGAGACTGGGCTCATTTGCTCTCAGGCTAGGTGGTTGACCCCAGCCGTTGGTTGGAGCTACTGGCCAGAACCCCTATGTGTGGCCTCCTCCTGTGGCTTGGGCTTCCTGACAACATGGTGGCTGGGTGTCAAGGATGAGCAGCCCAAGAGAGGAATGGGGACCAGGCTGCATCCTTTCTTGTGACCTGGCCACAGAAGTCATGAAACATCTCTTTCCCTGCTTCCAGTCATCGGTGCAGTCATGGTCATATCAAGTTCAAGTTCAAGGGGAAAGAAACTTGAACTGCACCTCTCAATGGGAGAATGATAAAATTCTGAATAGTGTATAGAACTGGATATGTTGCTATTGTCATTTTTGGAAAATACAATATAATATTTGTATTTGTGACCCCAGTTTTCCACCTCTAATACCATCCCACCTTCAGAGGGCCTTGTACATGGTGCAATGCTGGTATCTATGTATGACTTTTATTTGGATGCTCTAAGCTGGGAAGATGAAGTCCCAAGTCTTGGTCCATTTCTGTCATTACCTGCCATTACCTAGAACCAGGGTACAATGATTCTAGGTACAATGGCACCTAGAGCAAATGGTAAGTGAGCAGCAAGCATTATAAGCAAGATCCTGATGAAAGTTTTTTTTTTTTCCTTTCAGAAGCATACAGTTATTTCTGCAGTCAAATCCCAGTATATATATGACAGATG